GAGCTCCCAGCTGCCCGCCTCGCCCAGCGCTGACCTACAGGCATTTTTGCCATGGCTGTCCCAGGCTTTTTATAGGTTTTGGACACTTGTTGCATATAGGATACCTTACAGGTGTGGGCCTTTGCTGAAGTATTAGCTAGCTGCTTGGGGAGGGCATAGGGTTTGTTTTTTTCTCTAGTCTTGCTTTTTTTTCAGAAGCATTTCAAAAATAGGGGAAAACTTCCTGGATTCAGGCTGAATTTAAGATGCAGCATTTCACAATCAACTCACCAGAGATTATTTTGAACTGTCTCAAGGTGTACTCTTTGGATGAGAGGGCAGGCACGTATTTAAAGTAGTGAGTAACTCTGCGAGTCCAGGTGCGGCATTGCCAGTGTAGAGCACTTGCAAGGGTTACGCAGCCCCGTGGCAGCAGCTGTGCCAGTGCCACAGGCAGAGGATTTCTCTCCCCATCCTTGTCCTGCCCAGAATGCCTGATTATGGTTCAAGCTTTACCACCTGGAGACTGTGATTGCTGTTTGCAAGGGAAATGCTTGCTATTGTTGTGACCTGGGTTGTTGTTCCTGCATTACTTCAACACAGCAATAGCTTTAAACAGGTGTCTGGTGCATGGCAAAGCTCATGCTGGGATAATGTCTACTGCTGGGTCAGGATCCACTTCCCTGTGAGCTCTTACCCTCTACCTACAAGATTTTTTTAGGGGTTATGAGGTTTTCTTTCAGGTTAGTGATAAAACTGAGTCGTAGTTTCATCTTAACCCTAACTAGCTAAATAATTTGGCTCCTGCTGTTTCCAGTATGTGTATGCTCTCCCAGTCCACTTGGTGTTCCTTCAGGGCACTGTTCCCTGCCTGCACTGCCTTATTTCAGCCTGAGAACATGCTTGGGAGAAATAAAAGATGCCAACTGAGAAGGCCAAGCTGATGAGAAAAACAGCCCCAGGGAGGACTGGGGAGAGGACAGTTCCCAAAGAATGCAGGCATAGTCTCACCTGCAAGACTGTGCCGTGGGACTGGAGCCTGGTGGTCTCTGAGAAGAAGGCCACCAAGGTTTAGTCGCTCAAGAGTGTCCCTTTGAGCTGAGTCCTGTGGGGCATAGCTGTATGTACCCAGGCCAACAGGTGTAGGTTATCCCTTTGCCATTAGTGTTTGTAACAGGTTATGATACATGCGTGACAGGGTGTCCTAAAACATAACAGAAGGTCTTCAGGTTTGTAAAGTACAGATCCTCGTTTTTAGTTATTTATTTTTTTCCAAATTGCAGATCTAGAGGTAGGCCGTGTGTTTCGTTTCCTTTACTTTCCAGGTCATGTCAAGAAGCATAGAAGGGAACTGATGTGGTGTAGTAGTACACCATGTATGCCACATCAGAGCTGTGTTAGGGACCATTTCAACAAATGTTCAACTTCTTCAGGTAGTCTTGGAAATGTAAATTGCATCCTCATCTGCTTTATTGTGTTTTTAGAAGCTGCTTGGGTACCAACTTACCAAAACACTACATTTTGCTGGGCGGATGAAGTTCTGTTGTGAAATACTGAAGAACCTCATGTAGAACAGTGTGTAAATATGTGATTGTCTCATTGAAGGACTGATCAGGATTTTCAGGAGAAGGTTTCTCAGGCTGTGCAGAGGAGAAAAGGCGCTCCATGAACTATGCCTGTTACTAGATGTAAATGTCACCAGTGTGCCGGGGAGAGCTGTGTGGTTGCGAGCTTGGTTAGCAGGTGCTGAATGAAGCATGGAGGACCGAGTTCCCCCTGCATAGAGGCTACACTGACCCAGACTGGGTCTCTGTCAGTCTCTCAAGTGTTTCTGCAACTGTATGCACTGTCTTTGGAGGATTTGGGGAGACAGTTGTAAGGATGGCATGTTTGTGGGAGGAGGAAGCCTATGGGAAAAGACACTGGGATGCAGTAGAAGCAGTCTCATCAGCACGGTCCTGTACGTCAGTATGAGGTAAGATTTTGGCCATGTCTCGCAGCCCTGGGAAGCCTCTAGGGCAGTAGTGCCCACTGTGAGCAGTAGGTGGTGGAAGGGGTTTTGGCATCATCCCCAGTTCAGATGTCCCCAGGGCAAAGGGTGCAAGCCAGGCTCCATGGGAGTGAGCAGGGTGCCTGGGGTTTATCCCTCACCCTGGCCTGGGGGTGGGAGGGTTGAGAGGGTGGTGAGAGGGACATTCAGTACTGCATGTGAGCTCTTAGTCCCCTGCCCTGAACCCTTTCTTAGAAGAGGGCTCACATAACCCATCTGGGTTGACTTGTAGGGCAGGTGTCATAACAGAACCAATTTAAGTCCATGGGGCTTTTGGAAAATGCGTTGTCAGGTCTTTCTCCTCCTGGTTTCGCTGTGCATGTGTCACCTTGTGTGTTCTCCTGCTGTCAGCCACTGTGGCCATCTTGGTGGGACCAGAGGGAACAAGCAGGCTCAGCCTGTGCCCACTGAGCCCTCGTCTGGTAGTACACTGGGGTGCCCAGCAGGATTTAGCTGCCAGAGCTCCCTGGGTCTTCCCAAAGCGGTGTGGGGCAGGCAGGCTGGGAAGCTTTACATTATTGCTATTATTTCTCGTTGCAGTATTTTTTTTTTTTTTCCCAGCTTCTGGCTCTGCAGACCCCCAAATGCTCTTAATGGAGATATGGCCTGTTTATATGTTAATTTTAAGCCCACTGACAAGCGGTTTGCTTTTCTCCTGACTTCTCACGGTTCCCTCGCCCGTTCAAAGCCGCTGCCATGGGCTTAGGGGATAAGGTGCTGAGAATTAGAAAATAAATAAAATCTGCAGGATGCTGGAGAGTGAGGAGGTACAAGGATTGGCATGCTCAAAGTATAAACGAGTGATTTCTGAAAGCAAGGAACCCTGATACCAGGGGCATGCATGACAATTACATCCAGTACAATACAAAATGTTAATTACTAAATTTTGAGAAATTAATGCTGATTAGCAGCTGTGTGTGTGTGACCTAAATACATCTATTGCTTGATTTTTATTCATAATATACAGTTTATTGTTGATAAAGTAATGGCTGAATGGTGGGCTGGCCCACGAGTCTTGTGCTGAAGACTGAGGCCCGATTTGTAAATCGTCTGAAATTCGTTTGCATCTGTTTTTTGTGGAATTTATACGGATGGGGAAGATGAATAAGTCTGAGCTATCCCCTTTACAACTCAACTCCATAGATATTATTGAGAATTCATTTTGCTTTTATTATTAGGTCCACAAAAATGGACCTAATGCTTGTTGGCTTTAAAACACCTACTAACGCTGCTTTCTCTCTCCATCTTGCAAAATATAAGACAAGGCCGAAGCTTAAATTAAAATCCTCAGGTTCTTATCTCTTTCCCACAGGAAAGCAAATCTGTGTTGAAAACCGTAAAATTAAGAGGAGAGCAAGGATAGCATAATTTAGCAAAAATTCATGGCACCAGATTCTGAGCTATATGACTGGAGGGATAGGTCAGACATTAAGAAGATACTGCCTGCTAATGCAAGTTCCTTAAGGTGGTGCTCTGGAAACAAGGAAAGCGGAAAATGCTGCACTGGTTCCCGTTTGCTCCCTTTCCTCTGCTCCTACCGGTCTTAACAATAAATTGAGTTGTCCATTATATAACCCATCTGCTTCCAGAAGTCCAGAGAAATCGTAGTCTTGTGCATGGTGCTTTGTCCTAACATCTGTTTTGTGCTGGGATTTCAGTAGTGAACTCAATGAAAATTAATTTCATTGGCCTCTTAAATTATTTTTTTGTTAATTCCTTGTGTTTGGCAGGCTGTCCTATCTGAGTTTTATCGGTATGTCTCCCTGAAGGACAGCTCTACTTTTTAAAAAATGTTATTAAAAACCTGTTTGTTCCATAATTATCTGTGCTAAGGGGCAGCATAGAGTGGCAGGGTACAAATGAGGAGTGCCTGTTACGTGCTGGCATTATCACTGTGGCTCATCCCACCATAGAAAGAGCAACTTGTGCTTCAAGCAGTGTTAATACATCAGGATTTCACTGGAACAGAGAGGATTTCCATTGTCCTGCAGCCTTATCTAAAGAGCATACTTTTGGGCAGCATCCTTCCATCATGCAGACTGCCTCCTCCCCACTGCAGGAAGTGCTGATGGGAAGTGTGTGTCTTGACCTGTGTGGGTATCACCTCATGGCACCATTTCAGGACCCTCTCAGGTGTTTGTAGCACTTTGACTTCACTTTGGCACGATGCAGGGAGAGGCCTCCCAGGTGTCCCCAGGCAGCCAGCGGTTCTACCCCCCTAACTGACCACTCTGGGAGACCTCTGCCAACCACTTCTATGTGAAATCAGTCTTTTAAGGGTGACTTTTTAGTTACCTGTTAGACAGACCAAGAGTTTTCAACCAGAGTTTGTAAAATTGCAAGGGAGAAGATCTGCTGTGTCCGCTGGCAGTGGCAGGGATTTGTCCCAGCTGTGCCGTGCCACGCCACGCTGCGACCGTGCAGGAGAGCGGTGGAGAGCAGGAGCGAAGTTGATGTAGCTCGTGTTGCTCTTTAAGGCTGGAGATGTGGCAAACCTGCACTTTAAGCCCTTTCTTTTCATTTTTTTTTTTATTTTTTCAAATGCTGTTCCTATAACCAAGGGGTTTGGCAGCACTGCTGCTGGCTCTGCAGTCCTTTGCCCTTGGTGCACGGTGCCTGCCTGCCCAGCATGTTGCTCCTCCTGCCCTGCAGCTCTCCATTTGCCATTTCCGCTCGGTGTTTCCCAAGTGCCTTTCTTCCTGCTTCCGGCCCCCACCCATTTCCATGCCTTTCCTCAATATCTGCATCCCTCCTTGGGTGCCAGTGGTTTGAGGATGCCGATTCTGGCAGCAAACCTGGTTTCCATCCTCTAGCCCCAATGTCACATCTGTCCATCTGTTTCCCCCTCTTCAGTAATGCAAATATTTTAAAATTGCATTTTGGAAATGTTTCCTTTTTTTTTTTTTTCGTTCAGTGCAGAAGCCCCACCTCGCTAACACCATTTAATTTAATTTTTGTTCTTCTCTTGCAGTCAAACAAGGTGCCCGTGGTACAGCCTTCTCATGCGGTTCACCCCCTCACCCCTCTTATCACCTACAGCGATGAGCACTTTTCCCCGGGGTCACACCCATCTCACATCCCCTCTGACGTCAGCTCCAAACAAGGTGAGCCCATCGTTTTCTAGCAAAATGGGGATGCAGAGTGGTCCCTGTGCTGCTGACAGAACTTTATTTGTAGTAGTTTAGAGGGAGGGTTCCAGATGCATGTGCCCACTTTCAGAGACGGTAATTTTGCCGTGATGCTGATATTTAATGTGGCTTCTTAAATTTTCATGCTCTTTCTGATGTGATAATTTGGGCTTGCTTTTGTCATCAAAGTCTTTTAAAATCTCATTAAAGAGAAGCCAGTCCTTACCATCTCCAGCAGTGCCTGAGTCTTGCAGCGTGCAGATGCAGAAAGGGCAATCAAAATCAACCCTGACCTTCCCAAAAATGGAGGACAAGTACTTCAGTAGTGTTGTTATTGAAAATTTTTCTTTTTCCCTTTCAACTAAAATTGAATTTTATTCTCCTTGTCCATATTCTTCCAAATTCAGTTGGCATAACTGAAGCATTGCCCATAAAAATAATTTTGAGCCCGTGCAAGTTAAAGCTTTAGAAATGTGACACTTTTTAACCTCGTATGGGCTGCCTTCTGCAGAAAGCACCTTTTTAGATGGCTGTAAGTTTTCTCTGCACTCCTAGGACTCCTTGAAGCAAACAAAAAAGCCTCCCAAATCCACATCTGGGAACATCAGACCAGCCCTGCTCTGCCTCAGTCTGCATGGAAGAAGCAAATGGAGGCCTCCTGTCCTCATTTGTCTTCCTCCTTTGCATCAGTGCCCAGGAGAAGGATATTCACACTCATTCCTTGAAATCCCAGGGGTGCCACGTGTTAAGAGAACGGGATTTCCACCTCTTGCTGAAGCTGGCTGTGACAGCTGGGGCACGCCCTGCTGCTGCAGTTCGTGAGCTCAGGAGGTTTTCACTTACTGCATGCTGGGTTTGCCTACCTGTGCCCCATCTTTTTGCCTTTACCCTGGTTATTTTTGTATTCCTGTACTGCAGACCCCAACTGAACAACATCTGGTTTGTTGTTTCTGCTGTACATCCTCTCTCTCTTCTGGTTCTTCTCTACCCTCTCCCGTGTCCAGCATCCCGCTGGTCGTGTCCCCATCCCTGAGGACAAGCCTCCTGAGGGGCTCCGCTGGAAGGCACAAAGCTCATGCCCCTCTGGTGTTCCTGAATGGACTCTTGATTCATTTGCTCAGCATCTGGCAAAGATGGGGATGGATAATGCAGGCTGGAGACTACTGGTTTTGTCTGGGATGGTCTCCTTGATGTGTGTGGTCTTTCCATCCATGCTCCCTGTTTTGGCGCCAGTGGCGTGTGGGAGCAGCCGCAGTGAAGTAGCCCATGCAGGCGCTGCAAAGAGAGGATTTTTCTTTTCCTCAGGTCCTCTGCCAAATGCCTCCAACCATTGTTTCTGTCCTCGCCTCCCACTGTGGGCCTGGAACAAGGCACTGCCCTGCCGCCCTAGCCCTGATGCCAGGGTGCCCTCCCTCCCACCAAAATCCTCCAGCAAGGGGGTCGGCAGCAGCTTGCCTTCAGCACTGCTCCTTGCACCCGAGGCACTTTGGAATGCACACACAGCAATGCCTTGCTAAAGGCAGTCACTATTTTTTTTTTTTTTTTAACCCTCTTCATGAGCAAGAAGTTTTTTTGGGGAACGCTGGCTGTGTGATTGCTGTGTGTGCTCCTACTGGGCATTAGGTAGCTACTAGGCCCCCATAAGGGATGAGAAGCTTTGGATTATCGGTAAGAACTGACCACCAGTTAAGAGAGAGCACTGTTGTCTCCATGGCTCGAAAATGCAGATTTTGGGGAAGGAGTGGCCCAGCTCCTTTTGCAGAACTTGGTCTGGCAGGCACAAGCTCATGTCATCACTTCCAGGAGCATCAATCGTCACCAGAGATGAGAGGGATGAGGTGCTGGGCTTGTTTTTCACCTTTGTTATTTTTTTCTTCTCTTAAGTCATTCAGAAAGAGTGTTTCCTCTCGTATGAAAGACCTAGGATATATAAAGTGTTTCCTTTCCTGTCAGCTACCAGCTGTTTTACACCTTTGAAAAGACAAGTGGCCAGAAATTTGATCCTCATTCAGGTTGTGATCCCAAGTCTGAAAATTTTGCCTTTTTTTTTTCAGACAATAACACCACCGGTATTGTTTTCTATGCTTTCCTTTACAGTCCTGACAGATATACTTCAAATCTTGTAATTAAATTCAGAACATTTAAATACAAACTGGGAAGGGGAATAAATCACTAGCATCAGTCTATAAACTAAGTCTCAAGGTAGCACACACTCAGTCTTGGACCTTTGGAGTGTCACCACATAAATATTTAATACCCTTTTAAGGCAACTGATTTAACATGTGAAGTAGACTTAACAATTCCTTCTGCTTCAACCCCTCTTCCCCAAACACATTTAAATAAACCAATGTCTTTGTGGCCTCTGCAACTGTAATTCCATGTCTCCCGGGGACACAAGGTTTAGGTGAAGAATGGAGACCACAGACTCTTTTGGGATGAGGATTAGCTTTAATCTTGAGGTGATTCTTGCAGTTGTAGGATTCTGTGTTCTGGGGAATGTGAGCTGATGGATCATTCCTGATGGGACTCTTATTTTTCCGTGAAATACTACCAATGCGAAACAGATTGACCTTGGAGCCCACAGGAGTCAACTTGATGAAGAGCTTAGTTGGAGCTGGAGTGACAATTGGAAGCCAAATGAATCATATCAAGTGTGACCATTACAGGCCTGAAAATGATTCTTAATTAAGCACTGATCCTCTGTGGTAGCAAGTTTCCAAAATCTGTGAATCCATAAGGGAAACCGAGAAAATATAAAAGTAGCAATTTACCTAATCTAATAGCTCTGCTGTGCTGCCTCTTTGACAACGCATTATTTTCCTCTTGTTTCACGATGTGTTAGAAGAGGTCCTCGGGATCCGATCACACTTGGTGAAACCACTGAGAGCACAGTACTGCCTAATGCATATTGCAGGAGATCTAAACTTGCACAAGTCCTTACCCATACATTTATTTCCACCTTCCACATTGGCTTTCCAGTATTTCCCTTTGGATTGAAGTATCGTGTGCAAGTTAGTTATTATTTTAAAGGTGGCATACTTTTGCTTTTAACACTAACCAAGAAGGTGATTATTTCTTACCCAGAGCACTAATTCCATCGTACTGTTTTGGCCGTGTCAGCTGTGAACTGTAGGTCACGTACGTAGTATTTTGAGGTGGAAGTCATTCATTCTTCTCTGCTCTTTAACAGGCATGTCCAGGCATCCTCCAGCTCCTGATCTCCCTACCTTCTATCCCTTGTCTCCAGGGGGGGTTGGACAGATAACACCACCTCTTGGCTGGTAAGATTTTTTTAGCTTCTTTTCGGACAAAGGTGCATGTTCACACCATTCACATATTTTTGAATCAATTGCAGCATTTACAAAATAATAATAATAATAATAATGTCATTGCAGTAAGAAATCGTTATTTTATTTTAGTTGAAATTGAATTTGGTTTTTGAACAAGTACAGAAATTAAAGTGTGTAGATTTCACTTTGAAGTTTCTATATTTTTATGGCTCAGATTTGTGGCTCTTAGCATTTGGAAAGATAGCAGAAAACAGTTTTCAAGGAATGAAATGTAAATTTTTAATAAAATTGCAATTACTGAGGGGAGGAGAGGTAAGAAGGAACTTTGAAGTGTTTGGGGGGGGGTGAAATCTTGAAACTGCCCCAAATGGAGAACAAACTTTTTTAGCTGCTGCTTTTTACATTTTCTGTATGGAGAGAAGCCTCTGTCATTGGGAGATTTTGCTGCTTTTGCTAATACTAGCGCTCTCAGAATCTCTTACTGCCACTCCGGGTGTCATTTTCCTTTTGAAGGAAATGTGGTATTTTTGGAGTAATAGATTTGGAAGGTTGCTGCTGCGTGTCTGCTTGGAGTAGATACATACTTGCCCTCCGTTCTGTTGGAGCAGGAAATAAGGAAACTCAGTAACAATTTCAGTGCTTTTAGAATCTGTATCGTGAGTGGTCTGTGCCCATGCAATGAAGGATGCAGACTTTTTCGTGTTTTAATGTCTCTATGGGAGGGAAATATGATCCAGATGACAAGCAGAGAAAGTAGAGAGCAGAAGAGGTGGAATGCTGTATTGCTGGCATATCTTCTAGGAAGGGCCACATCACTTTTTGAACAAAGTAAAATATGGAAGTATCTGACTGACTATTTTTTTAATCTTTCCCCCCCCCCCCTCCTCCCTGTTTTGCTGCTGAGCTGACTCCTCACCTCCACTGCCACCAGGCAGTTGCTGACATGCGTTTTCCAGATGTGGTCAATCATTTCTTCTGAATGGTTTCTTGATGCAGAGGCTGGGGGGAGGGAGGAGAGAAAAGAGATGGAAGAGAGACAAGATCTTATCTTATAAGACTCAGGGATGTGTTCAGCAGCACTCACCAACAGTGGGACACACTCAACTGTCCCTTATCCTCTGCCTTTCAACTGCTTGCAGTGAGGTAGTGCTGTTGAGTCTTCCGTCATCTTTTTTTTCCTTCCTCTTCCCTTTGAGCACTGCTCATTTCCAGTAACATACTCCAAGTGTGAAACCTGTATCCTGAACCTTACAAAGACCAGTATCCTTTTTTTTTCACTCTGAAGCTGACTGGCCAGTCAATAAGTAACTGTCTGGACAGGGCTGATGTGTGTGGTGGTCTTTCTGGCTGGTTCAGGTGTTTGGGCTGCTTCAGGTACTTGTTCACATTACCACGACATGCTACTTCAGGGTGTTCATCATAGTCATGACTGAACCATTGCTAACTAAAAGTAAGCAAAATGTAGTGATGATGATAAAAACTAAAGAACCCCACATGACGGACTGGTGACAAAATATTCTGTGTATGTGGGAGCATAAAGGAGGTAAAAACTTCACACAAGCTTCTCTTACTGGATTGCAAAGTTTGATCTTTTAGTAGTAAGATAGATTTGTGTTTCTGTAGGCTTTTAGGTGGTTGGGTTGGGTATTTTTAATCAAATAAACTTCTACTTTGTTAGGAAAGCTGGCTATTTGTACATCACTATAGCATACACTGATGGAGAGAGTCATAAGTTTTCAAAGACTTAATAAAACTGTTCAAAAGGCTTTCTGGCTTAATAATTCACTGTCTGGTGTTCTTGCTCTGATCTCCAGTAGAACTACTTGGAAGAAGATGTGTTTTTCCTAAGAGCTCGTTTAACAAATCTGATTCCAGTGCTTATAATACTAGGTTAGAGAGGCATAGAGGTAGAGGAGTGTGCATGTGTGAATGTGTGCACTGGAGGAGGAAGGCTGGTTGTTTTGCTTTCCTTCCCGGTGGAAGATTAGATTGGGAATCTTTCAATAGCAAGGGAGAAAGTTTAAAGTGTTTAAGTGTTAGTTACTTTCATGAGGAGAACTCTGGAAAGTGTTAGCTCTTACTATTTATTGTGACTAGTACTGAGTTCCCATCAAGTGCTTGTAACTCTAGAATAACTACTGAATACCATGTCGTATGATTGATGGGTTCCTTTCTTCTGTGACCTCAGGCAAGGTCAGCCTGTATATCCCATCTCGAGTGGATTCAGGCAGCCCTATCCATCCTCACTCTCAGTCGACCCTTCCATATCCAGGTAGGTGTAGGAGGTGAATGACTGACTGGGGAGTAACTGCTGGCATTAGAGGGCAAGTTGCTCTTCCGCTTGTATCTTGGTCTGCCTTTGCTTGCTTTTCAGTCAGCTAAAACTTTATGCGTACATTTTTATTTAACTTATGTGTGTATATACAGTTTGCCTGGATCCCACACTGGTCTCATTCAGCATTTTCTTGTCAGTCTCTGAAGTATTGCAATGAGGAACACCAGTGAATTGTCAACAATTAATTGAGCTGTTTCATCTGAAATGAGTCATTAGTTCATTTCTAGATGCAACATGTAGTGTGCATCCTTGGGTTTTGCTCATGCCATTGTGCAAGCAGGTGGATTGTCACTCTAGTCTGTGTTCTCTAGTTGCAATTTTAAAGCCATTGTTAATTAGTCTTGAATCATTTAGGTAATGCTCTATGTGGAAACTTGCTCACTCACAAATAGGTATTTCGTAGCCCAAAGCCACTAATGGCAGGGGATGCCAGCATAGTGTGTTTGTACTGGTGTGGAATCAGGCACTGTGTCTTTATGTCGAAGTGTAAGCAAGCAATGCTAATTGAGACTTGGCCATGACACACTCTAGACCGCCTGTGCTCTGCTTTTGCATTCTAAAGACGGCTTCTGCATCCTGTGCTTGGTGTACACAAGGTTTGAATGTACTATTCTTGGGGTTTCTCATGTGACTTTTAGAAGACACATCCTCTTCCACAGGGATTTAAGACAGGCCACTTGACAAGTGGTGAGACCTCTTGCCTCTTTTTATATGGGCTCCTTTGGATTATCACTGTCCCTTCACTTCTTTACAGGGGAATGATAAGCATGTGCCTCTCAAGGTGATTGGGAAGAAAACCCATTCTTTCTCCATGATAAAACGATTTGGTTACAGGGCTTTGTGTTTCCTTTATTTTGGTGGCATGAAGGAAAAGAGCAATGGTGAAAGGAGAGGTTCGATACCATTCCTTAACCATAACTCATTCAGCAAAACTTGGGAACGTGAGCTTGCTTTTGATGTTAATGAGACTTCCCAGCAGTTTAAAATGAAGCATGCAGGTTTTCTGCTGCACTTGAGCTTGAAGTGCTCAGCACCTTCAACATCTGTCTCAGCTATCCTTGAGAATAACCTGGATTAGTAGGGTGGGGTGATACAATTAGTGGTACTTTGGTTTTGTTTTCCATTTTCATTCCTGTACAAATGAAAGGAAGCTTTTATTAGGACAAAAGTCGCTCCCTGCTCCCATCCTTCATCCAGGATGCAGAATTTTCAAAGTCTGTTTTAAGCATTTGAGGGAAGAATAGTGGGTTCAGGTGAAGTGATGTTAAAATCTTTTACCTTAAGGGCTTTGAAAACTAAAGAGATTCCTTAGAGAGCCATCAGGGACTTCTTGAAAAGACTCTTCTTTATTTTATTTGTTTCTGCATGGCAGTTTCCTCCTTTGCATTGGCTGGTGGTGGATATTTTAAGAATGTTTATATCTTAATGTGGAAATATATTTTTTGGTTAAGAAATGTGTGTGTTTGTTTCTAGTCAGCGCAACAGTATAAACATTGAGTGTTTCTTGTTTGCATTGCTAAAACTGTTTGCCTGAAAGGTAATAAAATAACTTCTCTACAACCAAAATGTTAACTGATTTTGTTTGTTTGTTTGTTTTTCTTGAATTAATGGGCTACAATGCACAAAACTTAGCCAGATATTTTTCATGCACTCTATAAGAGTTATCTTCATTGTAAGCTTTGTAGCATTTTCATTCTTGGGGCATCCTGCTGCTGTCTTATGTGCTTGGTGCCTGTCATCACTAGGGTTACAGACCTTGCTTTGTTTTCTCTTGTAGGTTTTCGCATCATATGATTCCTGGTCCTCCAGGCCCTCACACAACTGGAATCCCTCACCCAGCTATTGTAACACCTCAAGTAAAACAAGAACATCTGCACAACGACAGTGAGCTAATGCATGTGTGAGTCTGCCTTTCTGCACTAGCCCTTAATGTATAAATGCCTGAGAACTAACTCTATCTGAAGAAGAGTCAAGGATGTTTAAAAAGAAAAAAAAAAAAAGTGCCTTTCATGACCTCTTTGAATTTTACCTCTTCTCCTGTAACTAAAATGGAAACTATGGGGCAATGAAACATGAAGCCATTTTTCATTCCAGTCCAGCACTTCTAAGCTGTTGGCAACAACCATCTTGATTCAGGCATAGTTATGGATGTCTACCTGTTGCTTGAGTGTGAACTCATGAACTTCTACTGGAAAAGTTCTTACCAGAACAAAATTTACTAGTAAAGAGCAGCATCACTGCTTAATACTCAAAGGCAAAAGGCCAAGAAAGAAGTGGATGAGAAGCTGTCCTCCTGCCTGTGGCAGTGGTTTTTGAGGGTACTGTGGATAGCCTTTCAAAAAGAGAATTGAGACAAGTGATAAATTTGGAGCAGATTCACCTATCAAATGTTACTTGCTAGAGAATGTCAACTTGAAATCCTCTCTGAGTATTAAACTAAGTCAATTCTCTGAAAAGATGTGAAAGTGAATGGGACATGCCTACTGAAATTCTCATTGTTACTATTAAAGTGCTACTGTAATCACAGGTTGGTAATTTTCCATTGATCTTTTTTAGGCTGAAGGTAAATTAATGCTTTTTTTTCCCTTCCTTTCCCTTTCTCCCACCACGTTTTAGGAAGCCTCAGCACGAACAGAGAAAAGAACAAGAGCCAAAAAGACCTCATATTAAGAAACCTCTGAATGCTTTCATGTTGTACATGAAAGAAATGAGAGCAAACGTTGTAGCAGAGTGTACTCTGAAAGAAAGTGCAGCTATCAACCAGATTCTTGGCAGAAGGGTATGTAAAGGAGGGTTTGTGTGTACTCACGTGTGCTGCTAATTTGTGTGTTTCCCTTTAGTTGGGTGTGATTGCTCACTTTCTGCTTGAGGTGATGAGTAATGTGCAACTATCAAATTAGCTATAGAAGATAAAACGTGCAACTAAAAATAAAAGCTGTGTCTTGATTTTCTCTCTTCAGCATTAGCAACATCATCCACTTGGTGTCTGTTCCACTCATGTTATGGTGTCAGCAGCTCAGGCATGAAGTATCCACATTCACACATGGGAAGGAGCATTCAGATCACCTTGTGGGTCCTCCCTTAGGCTGGTGTCCATCAGAGCAGGAAGGGATCATTCAGAGATGAACACTGGATGCCACTGGAGATGGAACTCATAAGTGAATATAATGTGGTCCACTTGTAAAGTCATATAGGTTGGGTGGGACCCATGGAGGTCCTGTGATCCAACACCTGCTCAAAGCAAGTCCAGTTACATCAGGATGCTCAGGGACCTGTCCAGTCAAGTTTTGAATGTCTCTAAAGTCATCAGCCGAGTACTGATGATCCTAGTACATGTACCACAGCCTTGCTGAGAGCCGTTTGCTTCTGTGGCATTGTAGTCATGTTTCATACTTTTCATCTCAAAGCAAACCTACGCAGGCCAACTCACAATCACAAATGTCGTGTTCGCTGTCAATGTTATTCTTCCAAGAGAAGGCAGCAGAGGAAAATGCCCATTTTGCAATTGACTCCCAGAAATGAGAAAAGGGGTAACTTTTGTATCAGTCAGAGTTTGAGCAGAGATTATTCAAATTCCCAGTGAACATCTCTTCTTGATCACCGACCAAGGCAGTATTGAGAGGCACTGCAACTCTCTGAAGATGCTGTGCTTTCAAGTGGGAAGTCAGTACGTGACCTTAACTGCCCCTTTTATGTTACAGTCTGAAGACTTCCCCCTCCAAACAGAGCAGCAATCTATTAGTACTTGTCCCGGTTCCTGCAGCCTTCTGCCTCTATTGTTCTTGTTACCTCCCCTTAAAGGACGTCTTGGGGATTGCCTTTTCCATGCTTTCATGCAAGTCTCTAGGATCATGTTTTCATTCTCACTCCCTCAGTAATTGATCTTAGTTCCTTAGAATGTCAGCCTTGTTTTCTTGGCCTGAATGAGGGCAGTGGTTTATTTACCTCCATTTTGGTAATGAATCAAGCCTCGGGGCTCCATTGCCTACTTTTTCTGCAGCTTATACTTCTCTTTTCAAATTACTTTCTCCATGAAAGTACCTCAAATTCCACTTTTCCTGTAGTGCAAACAACGCATGAGTTATCCAGTATAATTGCTTTGAGATTGATTATTGTCAAGTGTTTCGTGTTCAGTCACCCTGGTCACTGTTTGCCCTGTGCTACCCCAGTACAGGAGCTACCTCTGTTCTCCAGAGCTGACACTTTACATGCCGCTGGGCTCTCTGATGCCACACCATAGTGTTCAATACCTTCCAGTTTTTGAATGTGCATGTGAAGTTTGAGAGTTGCAAACAGGCTGAACTGCTGTGCTCTCAGTAACACATTGAACTTGCCAAGTTGAGGCAGACAAGCGCTTTAGTTCACATCCTCTGATGTGTAACAAAACAACATATTAAATCATACAAATATGATCTGATCTGAAATCCTAGTTCTGTAAATTATTCTTGCATGAGTGTCTTAATGATTTCATGTCTGTCTGGTTTTGTTGTTTTTTTTTTTTTTTTTTAATAACTATTTCTACCCTTACTCCTCCATGCATGTTGTCAAACAAGAAGATAAGAAGACACATCTGCTGCAGCAGTGGAACCTGATTCTAAATAAAAGGCCTTTACTCTTTTTGGTTCAGGTCTATGATAGGTGTTTCAACAAGAACAAAATTGTTAGATAGCTATGTAATTGGTGCCTTTTTAAATGTGCAAATGGAGAAGGGTTATTTTTTGGTAGGTTTTTTTTTTTGTTTTTTGGTTTTTTTTTTTGTGGGTGGGTGAGGGGTTTGGAGTTTTTTTAGTACATAAAAGCAGGAAATTTGTCCCTACTTGGCTACAAAGGTCAACTCATGTAATTTGAAAGAGTGCAGTTCTGTGTTTTCTGTATCTCAGAAACTTTTGCCATTGCCATTTTCTTTTCTTCTATTACAAAAGGAAGAAATCGTAAAGCAGGTACCTTGAAACTCAGTAATTAGAGGCTGATCTTGGAACAGGAGCCTGCTGGTGCCCAGAAAGCCGTCTGTGTTGGCATGGAAAACTTGTGTCTGGCTGCTCCTTAAAACCAAAACAGCAGACCCTTCTATGAAGGGGAGATTGCTGACCTTTACAAGCAGCACAAATCATTTCTGTTTTGTCCAGAGCTAAAGGGTGGTTTTTGTTGTTGTTTTTTTGTTGGGGTTTGTTTGGGTTTGTTTGTTGTTGTTTTTTTTTAAGAAGTGTTGGGAGAGCATGGTTCTGTGAGCAGATTATTTGTTGAGCCCTGTTTCCATAAATGATTTTTGTCTGCTCAAGGCACTTGGCAGTTGCAGAGCTGACAAATGCCTGGAAGTTGGTTAATAAACACAGGTGCTTATAATTGCTAATGAATTTCATTTTTGCAGTGGGGAAGGACTGAATCAAAGTCACTAAAACACTTGCTCGTGTCATCTGTTGCCTAGGTATGAGTTAATTCCTAGTCTAATGCTATGTTTATTTTGTTTGTAGTGGCATGCTCTCTCCCGTGAAGAACAAGCGAAATATTATGAACTAGCTCGTAAAGAAAGGCAGCTACACATGCAGCTTTATCCAGGCTGGTCTGCAAGAGACAACTATGTAAGTCGCTCCCTTGAAGGCTCTTTTTTTTAATTAACTTCCTTTTCCTAGCCCTTTTTTATTATTTCTTCTTTTCTTCTATGACTTGGGGGAAGTCCTGGATGAAGGGACAGTGAACATACATATAACATAAACCTTTCATTTGTTTGCACTTCAAGAATCTAGAAAACTTGTTATTTTGTTGTTTTGTTGTTGAGATGCTCCTTATGAAGTTCAGTTTTCAAGGGGAAAAAATTAACATGGGAAGTTTTTTCCTGAAACAATGTCCAGTACTGTCTGGAAGCTTATGTTCTACTGTACAGCTGTAATTTTACTATCATTTTCTAATTGATCATTTGTTATCTCTAAATCTTATTTAGACCTGAGGAAAAAAAATAGGGGTGTCATGCTTTCAAGAGAACTAAAAGCCCGAGAGTCTTAATGCAGACTGAACTTCAGCTGAAAGTAATTCAAAACGGTCCATCTGTGAAATAAAGGCTGCAAAATTTGTATAAGTAGACTTCATGATAGATCCTGCTGTTACACCATTTAGTGAAGTTAAGAAGTTTTCTTACAGTTACTCGTGTTTTATAACTAAATACCGAGCAAGTGCTAATAAAATGTCACACAGCTTGCACTGCACAGTTACACAATTGTGCCTACAGTGAGCCGTCAGTGTAGTCACATGTGATGGTATGAAACTCAGAAGCTGCAGTTCTGAGAGACTGATCCTAACCCGAGGATCCTTTCTGTCCCTCCGTGAGCTGTGGCATTATTTACTGCGATAGGAAGGGTACATGCTATTTCTGGCTCTGTTTTCCATCTGTATTAGGTGCACAGTAGTTTTTCTCTACTTCAGTGACGTCTTTGGACGATAAAGATTGAGGTACCCAAATACAGTGTTAACAGAAACTGTAGAAGCTGGCACAGAATGCATTGACACAGAAACTAAGTGATGGTCTCTGAAGCAAAAGCCTTTGTCTTGCTAATAGCCATGCCCAGTTTTGTAAGCCCAGACACAACTGTAAACCCTAGCAGCTTGTTTCTGCCTCTTTTATTTATACAGTCATCTTTTCTAGCCAGAAAAACTGTCCTGGCCTTATGCAGGTAGGGTTTATTTCCAGTAACCAGTCCGTGTCAACAGAGCTGTCTTCGAGTACAGCTGGTACCAAATAGGGTCTTAGTGAGAGACTCCTTGGAAACAAGGAGATTTCGGTTGTTTTGAATTTACTTGCTGGAGAATCAAACCACTTTGGAGTCTTGTCAGCTCGTGCTTACTGGACGTCAGCCTTCAAGATTCTGCTGTGGTGCTTGGCCAGGTTGACTTTGAGAACCTGATGTGTTTTGCCACAGCCTGCTGCCTTACAGCACGAGCAGTGGACCTGCAGTTTCTTAAATGCCTTGATAGACATTTGGAGTGTGTAAGGTGGCACGTATGAGTTATCTCTTTGATGTGCTTCCAGCCTACATCCTGTATGGAAGTACAGCTCTGACATACTCCAGCCCTGCGTGCTGCAATGAAGAACTCTGCTAGCTTCCTCTTGCAGCCTTCCTCTTTGCCCCTCCAGCAATGTGCATATTTTGCAGTGGTGGTGAGGCAGTGGCCATAGTAGATCACAGTTTATCACTGGAACATTTTCAGAAATACATCATCTTTTTTTTTTTTCCCTCTTCAGTTTTTCTAAATTAAGCAGCCAAAGAGTGAAATTGTATTAATTTAGCACAGGTGTTACTGCAGTATTTTGAGAGTTGGAAGTGACTTAGGGGTGACTCTTCTGTTTCATGCTGGGTGTATTTCACAAAACAGTACAAGTAAAAAATACATACTATTTGATTTTAATTCTTCTGTTTTGGTTTGCCTGGTTATTCAGGATTTTAGAAATGTCAAGAAAATGTTAAACATTGTTATTCAACTTGAAATTATCTTTTTATTATGTTTTCCTTACTGCCCAAAGTAGTCATGCAAAGTTGTGTGGTAGACATGAGAAGCACAGTGTTTTCACAATGTGATCGTGTCTGTGTGCGCTGGAGTTGTTAGAAACTATCTCAGCTGGGAATGCTGACAACTAGTTTTCAGCCCAGCCTTCTGTTCCTTCACTTCCCTTAACTCATACATAGATCTCAGATCAGCTTTCAGTATGTTTTAGCACTTGAAGTCAGCCTGCCATAGAGAATAAAACCAGTTTTCCTCCCGTGATTTTTCCGTGTTAACATCTGTAGTAATGCACTTTCCTCCATAAAGAAGTATTGCCCTGGTGCCTAAGAGATAAAGCGTATCACTGTGAGTTCCCCAGAACCCTTGAAATGTGCTTTCCAACTTCTAGGCTGAGTCCTGACTTTAGGAGGTGTTGCCCAGCCCTGTTGCCAGTCTTACGATAAATGAGGACAGAAGCTTAAGAGTGAGGCAGGCCCAGACTTTCAGAGCAGACTGGACATGGAGAAGTCCATCTTCCAGAGCTTCACCACAGCCTGTATTTGGAGCCCTTGCTTGCTGTCTATCAGTGAGCACTACAGCGGTTTGGGATGGTTTCTCACATCACCTGCTGTCCATCCTGTCACCTTGCAGAGCTAGCTGATGGAAAGAGGTGTCCCACCACCTCAGCCCTTCCAGTCTGTGGCCACTGTTTGTGGTGGGACATGCACTGATGGCTGCCAGCCACGCTGAGTGGGGAGCCAGAGGATGAGCAGCAGGCTGCAGCCCTGCTCACAGCAACTGCACCGAGATTTGCCAGAGCAAATCTGTTAGAGCCTGTCTGTAGGCTTCTTTAAAATATAAATGGATATGATTTTTTTCTTCAAACACACACACACACACAAAAAATGCTTTGACTGGCAATATGGGACAATAATGACAAATCATATGGAGGAATATCAAAGTGGTAGTTAGGGTAAGGCAGCAAGATGATTGAGGTTCAAAACTGTGGGTCTGAACTGACCCCTTGTTTCCTGAAAGAGTGTGGGAAGCAGGAGCTCTGGCCGTTTCCATAGCTGGGGGTGCAGGAGAGGGCTGAGTGCATGGGTTGGGACGATGGCCCTGCACTGTCACGCTGGTGCCAGTGTGTTCTGCAGGACAGGCAGCTGCCAGGCGTTCATTTGTGTCCTGCACCTCAGGCACGTTCTCTGCTGTACAGCAGGAGCTGTTCGGTTATTGCACAGCGCGCTCTCTGGGCACAGCCATACAAGACTTGGCTTTTGTTAAGGCACAAGTGTTATCAGAACAGTTTTAGTGGGCTGGTTTGCACCCTGGGGACAAGTCGTGGTCGTCCTGGGTACTTTCAACACCCTGTCTGCTGATGCCATGTATGAACAGCGTAAGTATCTGAATGTGTGAAGAGTTCTTGTAAGAGCCATAAATTACGATATCAACATACGTGTCATCAGATTATTAAGTGTGAGAGGTCTTTCAAATGCTTGCGGCTGCCAGCGTTAGTTGAAAAACTGCCAGAAATTGTAATTCCATGTGGATATAAAAATATGTATTGCTGATGTGCGTATTTCTCCATAAATGCCGAGAGCAAACTTTGTTACCATTTAACTAGTTGGAAGTGGGGTAGAAAAGGTTTTAACTGCCTTGAAAATAATTGGGGTTTTTTTCCTAACCACTTTCTCAATGTCCAGATGACTTTTGCTTCTATGCTGTGAGGTTAAATGACCAAAAAAAAAAAGTCTGTGCATGTAATGCTATGGTAAAATTTTCTGTTTTTCAGGGGAAGAAAAAGAAAAGGAAGAGAGAAAAGTTGCAGGAATCAGCATCAGGTAGGCTGTGACCAACTCTTACTTGCCATTCACCTCAGGGATATTTTAGAAACCATAGCTTGCGCTTTTTATTTTTACTTGCTTTTCTCTAACACTTGCTTCTGATGGATGTTTTAAGATACTTCACTTTGAATGCAAGCTTGTGAAAATGCACACAGTATGTGCCTCCTTTCCCTTACCCCTTTCTGAGCAGCAGTCCTGATGGCATCAACATCTTTGGCTGAACTTATGAATTGCTGCAATTCACTGTCCTGCTTTACCTCTCCTTTTCTCCTCAATCAGTGTTGTATCATCCTTAAGTTTAAATATGTCTCAAATACTATGTGGGATTATTAGACACTGGAAACTTTACACTGATCTTCTTGTAGCCACTGTATATTTTATCACTGTATTTTACATTTCTGTGTACACTAACAGCTGCCTAGTAGGTTGGCTAAAAGCATCAGTGAGGTCTCCTCTTTGCCTGCAAAATATATATAGGAAACACCCTGTTTTCCCCCACAAAAATGGCTGGTATAAGAACCATAAAAAAAACAAACAACAAAACCAAAAACACACATAAAAAAATTCCACGTAACACTGTAGCAAACAAACTTATTTGGAATGTGCAAAAACTCTGTAAGAGAAATTTGTTAAAGGAAAACAATCTTCTACAGGTACAGGTCCCAGAATGACAGCTGCCTACATCTGAAGCATGGTAAGAACATCTCTAAAGCTTTCCTGCTGATAAAACTGAATTTAAAAATAAGCTTTTTTATAAATTTTATGCAATAATATGAATTTAGCAAAAATTGCAGAAGTATCATATCTCAAAGCTAATGTTACTTCGATTACTGATGGTTTTTATACCGGCTATCTATTAGATGTTCACCATTTCACTGCTTAGCTGTAATATTTTCAAATTGTCCACACCTCACTGACTCGCTCCAAGTCTGCCAGTGAAGCACAGGGATGGGTTTATTAAGCAGTGCTAACCCTCCCAGCCAGCAGACTGTCACAGTTCATAAGAGCAGGTTAGATGCTGGCTTTGGAGTACATTTTATGCGTTGACTTCTACAAGATGCTGGCTGACTGGGTACACTTTTTAAAAACTTGTTTAATTAATTAAATTTAAATATTTTAAAAATTATTCACCTGTGTACTAACAAAACATCTGCTAAGAAAATGGGATTGTATTTCAGTTGTGTCAGGAATTTCTCCCACAGCTGTGCAGTGGCATTTCATGTGTGGTGCAGGTTGGGGTTTTTTTGTGGTAGTTGTGTTTCCAGCATGTGTTTTCTCTCTTTATATCGTATCATCTGCACTGAGGGTGGAACGACTGGTGATTACACACACGCAGTAACACCATCTAGTCTGCTTGTGAGTGCACACAGTACTGCAGTGAGATCCTCATTTCTCAGTGTTTGTGTTGGAAGGCTGGTCCTTCTCTTTCTCTCAGTGTGATATTTTTTTCTAGTAGGAATGGCATTCATTTGACATAATAGTTGCTTCTACACTGTCTAATTAACCAGATTGCTCTTGGGAAATCTCTGAGAATTCCAGGAATCATGCAAAAAATAACACTTTCTAAACTCACCTATGTCCTATATTGGAAATGGACTCTCTATCCTCTTTTTCCTCTGCCTTACTTGGCCACATGATCCCTGTGGGGCTCCAAGAGGTCAGCAAAGCAGGCTCCTGTTGGCCCTCTGCTCTGCTTGGACTTTCAGCCAAGTTCAGTTTCCTCTGTGCGGTGTCTCAGTCATCAGTCAGCATGATTCAAGCCTCTTCTGAGGTTATGCCATTATGCTGGTTAGTCTAAACTTGGTTAAGACTTTGGGTTTGGGTTTTTTTCAAGCTGAAGTGAAAAGGCAAAATGCATGCTCTTTTTTTTCTTCTCAATAAGCATTATACCTAGCAAAAAAACAACATTGAGTTTTAACATTGAGTTTTATAATTAATATTTCAGCTTAGTTGCCTAGGTCCATGATGGTTGTGTATAGTTTTCCCTTTGATCTTAACACGGTACCAGTAAGCAAAACACTCAGAATTTTATCAGAATTGATGCAGAGCACTTGATTGGGATTGGAATTAAACTAAGGTTCAAGTGACAGCTAAAATATGGGGGATACTGTGGATGATCCAAGGATGACTGCCTTGCCTACTATTTTATTGGAGTTTCTCTGCATTTACCATAGTAGAGGATTAATGTTATGAGTGTGGGGGTTTTCTCTCTTCCCTTTGACTTCCTTCTTTCCTTTCTTCCTTCTGCTCTGTAACGGTGTGCATACCCATCTCTGTCCTCGTGCAGTTTCTAACACAGAGTATGAGAACAGTATATGCCTTCTTCTGCAGAAGAGGAGTGTGCTGTTGACTCCATATATGCACATGAAGGCAGCCTCACTAAATGTTGCATGTCATACATCCACTGGAGATGTACAGATGTGCTCTTGCTGGAAGTAAACGCACAGAGTGATTTAGGGAACCTGAATCAGCCAGACTTCAAAGTAAACTTCTGAACGTTAAGACTCTCGCCCTCTGCGAGCCTAATCCAAAGAATGTTTTGCCCACAAGCATAATATCTTACTAGGCCCACAGCAGAGCTGTTGTAGTCTCTACTGGATGGAGATAATAAGTTTGGGAATAGCTTTCTTACTCGTACGGAGTGGTGCAAGGAAGAGGGGGAAGGAGGGTGGGAGGTCTGGGAAGGAGACAAGCGTTCTGTTATCTGAGAAGAATCAGAAATGAGTAGGTGGCAAGACCAAAGAAAGAATCTCAAGATCAGCATAAAGGAAGATCAGCCAGGGCTGTAATTATGATGATGTAAGTGAGAAGGATGAAATGGTGGGAGGGTTGTGTGGTGGGATGTTCAGAGGAAAGTAACGGAAGAGACATGCAAACAGAAATGATTTAAGATACTGTGAAAGTTTTGGGTGTGGAGTTGGTTTTTTTTTTTTTATTTTTGTCCATGAACCCTTCAGCACGTAGGTGATTTTTAAGGTGGACCTCTAACCTGCTTTTTGCCTTGGACATGATTTGCGTGGTAAAGTCAAGGTGGTAGCGTTAAGTTGCCCCTTTTCCAAGGGTTGTACACAGCTGCAGGCATGTTATGGCTTCACAGCTTAGGATTTAACTGAGTTCTGTGATCTCCAACATGCTGAATGGCCATTTTGCAAAACAATTTAGAGTGCTTTAGGAGTACTGTGACCCTGTGCACCAGTCTTTGCTATATTATCCTGGGGTGCTTCAAAGCTTGTCACCATTCTGTAAGAGTTTTGGAACTGTCCCAAGAAGGATTTTGTTTGCAGTTGACATGGTCCAACACAACATTTGAAATAACACTGATTTGTTGAAGAAATAACTCTTATTTATTCTCTTCTTTTGAAATCAACCAAGAGTGGAATAAAACCTGATAATGGTAAAAATAAGTTTAGGAGGGACCAGGAGGGAAGGGGAAATGAGGAAAGCTAAGATTAAGGACAGTGTAGAGATGACCTGTTGAGCACCTTTCTGAAAGGTGAGTGTTTTCTTTTTACTTTAAGCTCAGCGTTCTAGAGGGTTGGTAAATAGGAGCAGTTCCGTGTTGGAAGTAGAAATTCCTAATTTCCTATTCAGTTTGACTTTTGGAAGGGAAAAAAAGGCAATTTTTAGCATCTCATGAGTATTTTGAAATCAGCAAGGAAACAGAATGTCATTAACAAAAATTCCTCCTGATTGTTCTGCAACATGGAAATACTTAACTTCCTATGACTTGCTCTGTGTGGTAATTGTAAAAGGCACATTATTCAACATATGGCAGGATGCAATTGGGAAACTACGTAATTTAACATCGTGTTTTGGCTTATCTTCAAGGGCTAAAAAGAGTGATAGAGAAGGTTAATAGACATTTGAAAACCTGTGAGAAGTATATTTGTGGCTTGCAAAATTCCTTGACAATTAGCATCTACATTAGTGAAGCTTCCAAAAATAAGAAAACTTGACTAATACTGATTTACAATCAGAAGAACTTAAAAGGATCAGATTAAGACTGTTTAACTTTAAACAATGAATTATCTTAACATTTCAAACTTCCTACATGGAAATTGGAGCCAAATTTCAGCGCAGAAGTGATTTTTGGGTAGTGCTGTAACAATTTATGACTGGATTATGTTTTCCTTATTACTTAGAAGTAGAATGGAGTGAAGCTGTGAAAGCAGACTATAAAATGGGCCAATATATGGCCGGAATGCTGTGGAAAAGAAGCATCTGAATACTGTGATCATGGCTCACCATGGGCTTCTGGCCAGAATCCTAGAAAGAAGATGCAAAGAGGATGTGGTACCTTGATTTCTGAGGCACGTGTTTTCAAACCTGGCTTGTCCAGTGCTCTTAAAATTGCTGCTGGAGTAGCTGAAATTGAAACGAATGCTCCGCTCCTTTCCATGGCTCTTGACTGCTCAGAAGCTTTAAACAGAGGCTGGAGGACTTGCACAGAAGTTACTGAGTGTGAGAATCTGTATGGTGATGGTGGTGCAGAGACATGTCCTGATTTACTTTAAAATTGTTTCCTCTGTGACCCATGTTTCCCTGTTCCCAGTTTTATCTAAAAATACTGGCCTTCAGTACGGGCAAGAGGGACAGAATGAACAGAAAAAAATTTGCTGGATTGAAACATATTATTTCATATAGGCATAGAAATTTCCAAAGAGTAGGAGTACAGCCCTCAGACATATCATAGAATCAAAGAATGGTTTGTGTTGGAACGACCTTAAAGATCATTTACTTCCAAGCCTTCAACCATGGGCCAGGACACCTTCCACTAGACAAGGTTGCTCAAAGCCTCATACAGCCTGGCCTTGAACATTTACAGGAGTGAGGGATCCACAGCCTCTGTGGGCAACTTGTTCTAGTGCCTCACCACCCTCACAGTAAAGAATTTTTTTCCTAATGTCCAATCTAAACCTACCTTCTGGCAGTTTAAAGCCATTCCCCCTTGTCCTGTCACTACATGTCCTTGTAAAAAGTCCCTCTCCATCTTTCCTGTAGGCCCCCCTTTAGGTACTAGAAGACTGCTGTAAGGTCTCACTGGAACCTTGTCCATGCTTAACAATCACAACTCTCTCAGCCTATCTCAATAGAAGAGGTGCTTGAGCCCTCTGAGCATCTTCGTGGCCTGCTCTGGACTCGCTCCAACAAGTCTGTGTCCTTCTTATGTTGGAAGCCCCCAGAGCTGGATGCAGCACTACAGGTGGGGTCTCACCAGAGCAGAACAGCGGGGCAGAATCTTCTCCCTCGACTTGCTGGTCACGCAGCTTTTGGTGCAGCCCAAGACACAGCTGGCCTTCTGGGCTGTGAGAGCACACTGTTGGGTCATGTCGACCTTCTCATCTATCAACATCCACAAGTCCTTCTCCTCAGGACTGTTCTCAATCCATTCTCGGTCCAGCCTATGTTTGTGCTTGGGATTGCCCTGATTCAGGTACAGGACCTTGTCCTTGTTGACCTTCATGAGGTTCACACAGGGCCCACTTCTCAAGCCTGTCAGGATCCCTCTGGATGGCATCCCGTCCCCTACTGCAGCTTAGTTCTGACCCGATATTGATCTTGCAGGGATGAAAGACAGAAACCCTCCTCTCAGGCTCTCTGACATGAAGGAAAACAAGAGCAACCCCAAAGAGAAGCCGCTGCCTGTTAGGGTGGCAGGTAGGGGGGCACTGACACCTGCTGGGAGAGGTGCAG